TGCATGGGGATAAGATGAGGGTCAGAATAGAAGCCTACTCTTTTTGGAGATGATCGCCATATATTTAGGGGTTGAAATGGACCAAAAAACTGCAAAATTGTCGGCAGGTCGTAATTATCGCCCGATCCTCACGCACATTTGAAAGGGGATTACCGGACATTGCAAAAGCCAAGCATCCAAAAATATTCAATGTGTGAAATAGTTTGCCAACTTTGGTAGACAAAATACGAAAATGTCCATTCCAGAGACTTTTTCGAGAATTCACAAATACAGGAAAGGCGCACTTCTGACTATTTCGTTAACGCTGATTTCATTGAAGAATATAGTTAAATGTCTGTATCTCATATAGATGCGTTTCAGTCAAAAACCAATAATAAATGTTAATCTTTTGCCACTTCTAAGAAATTATAGGTCTTTGGGAAATATTGGTTCCAGATCTAGGAAGACCATTTAAGTGCAACATCTACCAATAAATTGGAAATGAGCAAATTAGTTTAAGTTGCTATTATTCGAAAATTAGAGAACGAAACCTGATGGTTTTCTTTTATAATTTGTCACAATATCTTGTGGAATTCTTTCGAGTATCTCGCCTATATAAAATGTATCGTTTATTATAGTGTTGTAGGGTATTCAACGGTCGGCCCCGCTCGACTGTAGCCTTTGCTTACTTGTTTTTCGTGTAAATCAATTGCAGTTCAAATAAACAATGTACGATTACTTAAAAATATTTTGACTTCTATTATGATTATTGAAATATTTAAACCATAATGGAGAAGGTTCCGAAGGAAAGGGTCATTTCGTGTTGGACCTAAATAAATATGATATAAATATTGCGACGTGCCAGGTTTGGACTATATTGGTTATATCCTTCACTTTGTATGAAATATATGATACTTTTTAGATAATGTTAACATGTGTGTGAGCTAACGAAGTCTATTGAAGTATTCCATTTTCATGCTTCAACTAATTCATATAAAAATATTGGTATGAGCAATATTACAAGAAAATCGAACATTTATATCCAATTTATGGAAAATCATTAATTCCATATTCATCTCAGGTGGGGGAGACACTTGATGAAGTGGACCGATATTATTCATTTTTTGAACCTGACCAAGAACTGACGCAAATATTAGGATTTGCAAAGTTGGAACAATTTGGAATTAAAATCTCTTTCTGTACAGATTTTTTTTTTTTTTTTTTTTGGACAATTTCGACCTTTTGTGGTGGAGGTACCAGAAGAAGTGGACAGATGTATTCCACCTTGGCACCAGAGCTTGGGTTAATAAAATTATTGCGATGTGTGAAAATTGAATTTTATCAAATTTTATAAGAGTTGTAATTATTCAAAATTTTGACTCTTTATGGGAAGGTACTTGATAGAGTGGACCGATATTATTCATTTTTGCACCTGACCTAGAACGTATGCAAATATTAGTATATGCAAAGTTGGAGCAAAATCGGATTATTGCTTTCTCTTTCTGTGCAATAAATTATTTTCTTTGAAAATTTTGACATTTTGTGTGGGAAGTACCAGAAGGAGTGGACCGATATTGTACATCTCCGAACTCGATCTAAGTTTGACAATAATATTACGATGTACCAACTTTGGATCAAATCGGATACTCCCTTCGAGAGTTATCGTGCGCACCATCCAGCCAGACGGACGGACATCGCTAGATCGACTCCAAAAGTCCTGAAACGGATTTGATCCAAAGAGACCTAGAGTCTAAGACCGTTATTTCGATGGACCTAGGCCTAGGGTCTTAATTCGTTATTTCGAGGAGGCATGCTTTGTCTGTATAAAATGATATACATGGTGAGATAAAAAAAAAACTGCAACGAAGTCAAATGCCATAATTTTTACATATTTTTAAATTTTTTTGAACGAAAGCGGATGTCAGCGGAATGTCGGAAATAGCATCACACTTTAGAATAAGTTTAGATTTGTTCGAATTGGTCACCTTTGGCACGAAATATGGCCTTCAAACGGCCAATGAAATCGTCACACGCTGCCCGAATGTTGTTCTGCGGTATTTTGGTCCATTCCCGGCGAAGCGCTTGCTTGAGTTTATCGACACTTTGGTATTTTTTAGTGCAAAACATGCTTTCCAAATTATTCCAGACTCCAAAGGATTAGTATCCGAAGATTTTGTGGGCCATTGTGCGCTGGAAATGAAGCGAGGAACCTCATTTTGTAACCATTCTTGGGTGGCGCGTGCTCAGTGCGATGCTGCTGAGTCCTGTTGGACGGTGCAAGGTCTGCGGCCAAAATGTTTGCATGCCCAAGGCTTTAATACACCCTCCAGAATATTTCCGCGATAATATTCAGCATATATTCGGATGTCACAGTCGATTAATACGGGCGGAGAGTGAGCATCGGCTGCTATGGCGGCCCACACCATCACCATGGCCGGCGCTTGAGTTCTGGTGGCCAAGCGGGGGTGCACATTTTCAGCTGACCTCTTTGGCAAGTAAACACGATCACTTTGTTTACAAACTGCTGGACAACGAATGTTTTCTCATCGAAGAAAACCAAATTCGGCGAATCACCACTTTCGGCCAACCGAAGCAACTCTTTAGCTCTTTTGAGTCTATTTTCTTTCTGTTGCGGTGTAAGTTCTTGCACTTTTTGGAATTTCAATGGCTTTACCCCGAGCTCATTTTTCAATATTTGCCGAACGGAATATTGCGATATCTTCAGCTCACGTGCCATTTTTCGGCCAATGCGTCGCGGGTTTCGATCAAGTCGCTTCTTTACTTTTCGAACCATTTCTGCTGATGTTGCTGTTTCCTTCCGTCCACTTCCTTGACGTCGGGCTACGCTACCAGTATCACGGTAACGAGCGATGATACGAGACACAAAAGATTTATTCACATTTAAATGCTGGAGTGCTCTAACGATGACCACTTGTGGCTTTCCAGCCAAATACAAAGAAATCACACTATCACGCTGGAATTCCATCACAAATAACTTTTTTTTGGAGAATTCTCAGCAAAATGCTTCTGTACGCTTGTAAACAATATAATGAGCTGTCACTGGAATAATTTTAACAGATGTCGGACAAGTGGCTTAGAAATGACAGCAGTCTGAAATTGGTTGCAGTTTTTTCATCTCATCCTGTATATTTAAAAACATTAGAGACCGTATAACCGACAGAAGCTCTTTTCCGACCAAACGGACGACGTCATATTTTTCCCATCACGTCTATGGCAAATGCTATCTTCGGATCAGCAAAGGTACGCAGATCCGAGAGCTTATTGAATTTATTAACGAGGCTTGCTAAACCACATTCGCTGAATACCTCTCTTCGCAAGCGATACTGGATTTCACATTTGTATGTGATACTAGATTTATTTCCAGGGACTAACTTAAATACAGCTCAGACTAAATCTACAATAGATGCTAGCCAACAACATATTACCCTTTTCCCATTGGAAGGACTGGTCATGACCTTCATCGGTGTCAAAATGCGCCCTCACACCTTACTCAACAATTTAAATTTTACCTCGTACTATATCATTACTTTAAAATTTGCCGGATAACTTTCAGAACAAAGCATGTTACAATCTTTTTTCCAAAATCGAATAGCCTTTATACTTTTTTGGAAGGCAGGGTACAGTATCTCTCTCAAAAAAATATATCCCATATACCAATAGAGATCTCTCTATCAAATTTCGGAATTCCAGTTGTACGCCTTCAGTCAATATCAAATTTAGTACTATTTAGTGCTTTTTGTACAATTCGAGTACACATTTCCAAGCCCACCTCCATATCTCAATTCAAGAGACCAACAATGACATCTACTTCATATTTTTGTATTTCAGGTCTAATCCTTCACCCAAAACAAACTTTGAATTATACCCTCTACCTTGGAAAGGAGGATATATTAACTTTGTCATTCCGTTTGTAACATCCTGAAATAAAATAAAATTCTAAGTCGATTTAACGATGTCCGTCTGTCGAAATTACGATACAGCCCAAATTGTTTGCCAAAATTTAGTAGAGCAATTTGTATTGTGTCTAGGATGGTTGGTATTGAAAATGAGATATATCGGTCCACGTTTTGGTATAGTCCCCATATAACGGCACCTCCCGATATTCGGAATTTTGATGATCTATGCCACATTTTTTCACGGATTTGTCTGAAAATTGGTATTTGTAGGTCATAACGGATCCCAGTTCGTGTGGCAAAACATTGCATGTATAGGTCCACGCTTTGGTATAGCCCCCATATAAAAGTACCTCCCGATGTTCGGTATTTTAATGATTTTAGCGACATTATTCACCGGAATTGTTTCAACTTTGGTATTTGAAGTTCGAAGTGGATACTACAGCCTATGACAGAAAATTGTCTGTGCAGGTCCACGTCTTCGTATAGCCCCCATATAACGGTATTCACCGGAATTATTTCAAATTACGTATTTAGAGTTCGTAATGGGAACTACAGTCTGTGAAAGAAAATTGTCTATGCAGGTCCAGGTCTTCGTATAGGCCCCATATACCAGTACCTCCCTATATTCGCTATTTTGACGAGTATAGGTACAATACTCACCGAAATTGTTTGAAATGTCGTATTTGAAGTTCGTAATGGATGCTACAGCCTATGACAAAAAATTGTCTACGCAGGTTCAGGTCTTCGCACAGCTCCGATATGATGGTACCTCCTTATATACGATATTTTCATGATTTTAGCTACATTATTCATGGTTTTTTTCAAGTTTCGAATTTGAATATGGTAATGGCTAATGACAAACAGGGCCTACGTAGATCCACGTCGTATAGACCCCAATATAACGGCAATATTAGGTATTTTTTAAAATTAACAGAATTTTTTAAGGATTTTATTTTTTTTTTTTAATTTCCAAATTCGTTCCAAATGGTGGAGGGTATTCAAAGTTTGGCCCGGCCGAACTTACTGCTCTTTAACTTGTTTTTAATTGCGGATTTAAATATTTCAGAAAAAAATAACAAATATAAATATTTTTTTAAATTTCAGGTTGATTTTGGTGAAGTCTTTATACCACCAGGTTTGGATGTGCCGAAACCCCGTGTCTTGCCAGAATTCAAGCGGCTGGCCCATGGTCTACGGTCAAGTAACATCAGTGTGTTGGATGCCAAAACATTTTATATTCCTAATTTGCATTATGACGGTGCTGGCCCAGATGCCTATTTCTGGGTTGGCAATGGTTCCGAACCCAATATTATGGGTATTAAGGTAGGTCTCTCATTCTCTCAATTACTTCAAATTTTGCCTAAATTTTCTGTTGTCCCTTAGGTACCCAACGAAATCGGTTCCCTGGAACCTTTGCGCGGCTATCAGGGTGAAGATATTGAAATTCAATTGCCCGGCAAATGGACTGTCTATGACATTGACTGGCTGGCCGTGTGGTGTGTGGAATATCGCCACAATTTCGGTCATGTTTATATACCCAAAGACTTGGATGTACCACCGGCCCTGGGACAAACGAAAATCACCGTAAGTTTAAATAGATTTGAAATCAGTTGTGAGTGTATTGAGTTGTTTTATTAGTAACCCGTCCCCCCCAACCCCTTTGGAGACCCTTTGATTTAGTTAATAACCCCCACCCCCTAACCCATTCCCCGATTTAGTTACCATCTCCAAACTCAAGCTCTCATCCATGCCAACCATCCTCCATATTATTTTTGGGTTCATCTTATCATTCAATCAATGTCATTGCGAAAAGACAACAAGAACAACAACAAATCATTTGAAAAAAAAGCCATAATCATCTGTATACTATTCTCTATCTTTTGTATTTAAAACTAAAAACTAAAAAAAAAAAAAAAATAATGAATAAAAATAATTATCCACTCAAATCAAACAAATCGTCCAACCAACCAACCAACTAACCAATCAAATCTCAAACAATCTCGCCAAAATAAATAACTCATTAGCCTCCATGGTGGTACTCTCCTGTAAGTAAATACCGTTTAGTAATGCTTACTAAAATCTCTCCAATTAGTATTAGTGTATAACTGTACAAAAACCACACACACACATATATACCCACACGCAGCACAGCCACACTCACAAGCACATACATGCGTATAAATATTTAGTATTCAAGTTTGGAATCACATTCAACACAATTTTGAAAATTTTACAAAAATTTCTCATTTCAATATTTTTCTAAATTTGATTTCTCTCTCTCTCTCTCCCACTTCTCTCCCCTCTTAGACCACAACAACACCACGCCCCGTCTACTCCAACTGCCGTGAAATCATACCCAACAAATTGCAAGTCAAATGGGAGTTGCAGGGTGAATATCTGCAAATCGATTTGCTCGGCCGCATCAGCGAAGATCAGTACATGTCCTTCGGCCTGTCCGGCGCCAATGGCCGTGCCCAAATGTCACAATCCGATGTCGTTGTGGCCTTTTACGATACCACCGCAAGAGTGTTCCGTGCCGAGGATTATTACATCACCGACTTATCGCAATGCGATGGCCACAATGGCGTGTGTCCAGACGAGAGGATTGGCGGACGTAATGATGTTGTTGTTTGTGAGTATAAATCACTTAATGTCTTATTAGATACTAGCAATTGCAACATAATTCTTTAGCGAAAAGTCAGCCTTAAAATTTCAGATACGTTCCAACGGTTTGTGTAAGGCCTTTTTATACCCTCCCTCCACCTTGGAAAGGAGGGTATATTGACTTTGTCATTCCGTTTGTAACACATCTAAATATTCGTCTGAGACCCCATAATGTATGTATATTCATAATCAGCATAAAATTCTAAGTCGATTTAACGATGTCCGTCTGTCTGTCCGTCCGTCTGCCTGTCTGTTGAAATCACGATACAGGCCACATTATTTGACGTATAGCGTCAAAATTTAGCAGAATAATTTGTATTGTGTCTAGGATGGCTGGTATTAAAAATGACATATATCGGTCCACGTTTTGGTATAGTCTCCATATAACGGTACCTTCCGATATTCGAAATTTTGATGATTTTTTGCCGCATTTTTTCATGGATTTGTCTAAAAATTGGTATTTGTTGGTCACAGTGGGTTCTAGCTCCGGTGGCGAAACATTGCATGTATAAGTCCAGGTTTTCATATAGCCCCCATATAACGGTATCTCCCGATATTCGGCGATTTGATGATTTTAGCGACATTATTAACCGAAATTGTTTCAAATTTGATATTTGAAGTTCGTAATGGATACTACAGCCTAGGACAGAACATTGTCTGTGCAGGTCCACCTCTTTGTATAGGCCCCATATACCAGTAGCTCCCTATATTCGGTATTTTTAGGATTTTATCGAATTTATTCACCGGAATTATTTCAAATTTGGTACTTAAAGTTCGTAATGGATACTACAGCCTAAGACAGAAAATTGTCTATGCGGGTCCACGTCTTCTTAGAGCCCCCATATAACAGTACCTCCCGATATTCGATATTTTAATGATTTCGGCGACATTATTCTCCGGAATTCTTTCAAATTTGGTATTTGATGTTCGTAATGGATACTACAGCCAAAGACAGAAAATTGTGTCCAGGTCTTCGTATAGGCCCCTTATACCAGTACCTCCCTTTATTCGTTATTTTGACGAGTTTAGGTACAATACTCACCGAAATTGTTTGAGATGTCGTATTTGAAGTTCCTAATGGATGCTCGACCTAGGACAGAAAATTGTCCATGCTGGTCCAGGTCTTCACACAGCCCCGATATAACGGTACCTCCAATATGCGACATTTTGATGATTTTAGCTACATTATTCACCGTTTATTTCAAGTTTCGAATTTGAATACGGTAATGGCTTATGACAAACAATGCCTATGTAGGTCCACTTCGTATAGACCCCAATATAACGGCTATATTCGGTATTTTTAAAATTTTCACAAAATTGTTTAAGGATTTTAATTATTTGAAGATTTTCAAATTCGTTCCAAATGGTGGAGGGTATTCAAAGTTCGGCCCGGCCAATCTTACTGCTTTTTATCTTGCTTTTTTTTTTTTTTTTTTAAATTGTCGACCTTTTGTGGGGGACCGAACTCGAAATTAAATTTGGCATTCTTCCAAAACAACATAAAGTTCTATATTGATATTACCAATAATGGCTACCTACCTTGCACTTAAACTTATGAAATTTTGAGTGATTATTTTGATCAAGATTTTGAAAAAAAAAAAAATATTAAAAAAAAAATGAAAACCAAAATCTTTTATTTTTATATTGTCTTTATCTCTAACAGTGAGCGGAGATCGCAAGAATGGCGTGACCAGCATACGCTACCGTCGCCTATTGCAGACAAATGAACCGATTTACGATATGCCCATACCCACGGATCGTGATGTCTCAGTAATAGCTGCCATCGGACCGCTCAATAGTCGTAAAGAGGCAAATGCTCATACGCACACTGGCACCGATCATGTTGTCGATGATATACGCATTAATTTCTCATCGAGGGTAGGTCTACGGGAATATAATTTACCCCATAAATTTTTAATAATTCCATCCTCTTAATTTGTATTTCTAGAGCGACAATACCTGCAAACTCTCTTTGTTCACGGTCAAGGACGAATCGGGTCCAACACCCTGGCCAACACGCAAGATAACCAATGAATATTCATTTACGGCCCGCATTGGTCCGACTGGCGGTAAGCGAGGCTATACACCCATTACGGGTATACCCTCGTGGGGTATTGCCTGGTACATCAATGATTTGCTGATACCCGAGATCACTGTGGAACGGGGTAAAACCTATGAATTTATTGTGGAAGGCGGTGATATTGCCGCACAACCAGCAAGGTAAGGTGGAGGGGGGAGGGGGGATTCTTCGTAGATGAAATATAATTTTGGCATTTCCATTGCAGATACCATCCATTTTATATCACCGATTCTCCGGAAGGAGGCATTGGACAAAAGACTGGCCTGGAATTGAGCAAACAAAAGGCATATGCCGGTGTGGAATTCGATGAGGAGGGCAATCCAATACCAACAGCTGGTGGGTTTGGAAGAAAGAAAAAAAAACTTATTTTGGAGGAAAACCAAAAATTTAAAATGTAACTTATCCTTATTTGCATTTTAGCTGGCCGCTACTGTGAATGGGTCCACAATACCATTGATCGCTCGGCAGAGACTGAAACCTTTGAGGAATATATGAAGACCCTGACTTTGGTGTGTGAAGATGGTGAACCGGGCTATCTCAACTGGACCGTGCCCATGGATGCCCCGGATACGTTGTATTATCAGGTGAGCATTTAGAGATTTAAAGAAAGAAATGGAATTTTCTAACCTTACTTTTTGGCAGTGTTTTACCCACAACAATTTGGGTTGGAAAATCAATGTGGTGGACAGTGGAGCCTCAAGGGCTTTGATACCCCTGACAACGATATGGTATGCCGTGGTCATGAGTTTGGCAGCCCTGGGTTTTAATCTGGCGCTGACACACAGCCAAGGTTTGGGGCGCCGTATTGCCTGATAGTAATCACTGAGGAAAGGGTGCACATTTTTGGTTACATGCATTTTGTAATTTATCAGAGTTTTTTCACAGAATATTTTTTTTGATATTGTATTTTTTTTTTGCTAGATAGGCTAAATTGGCGAATGTTAAAGGAAATGGAAGGAGGAGAAGGATAATAATAATTATGACAATAATAATGATGATAAAGACAATAATGAGTTAAGGGGGCGGGAAAAAAACAACAAAAAGTTAATTACAAAAAAAAACAATTTTGAATGCAATATTGAATATTAAAAAACGAGAAAATAATATCATAAACCGAAACTGGCATCAATTATTAGATTTTTAGGTCCTTGGCAACTGAAATTCAAAAGTAATATTTTGAAAAGAACAACTAAAAAAAATAAATAAAAAAAATTATCCAACCCTTTTTGAACAGAATAAATAGCATATCAAACTCTGATAAATTATAAACGAAATTATTTCTTCTAAGCCAGGCTAAAAAAAATTATTTTTTTTTTCAAAATTATAATTTTCAATACCTACTAGACATATCTTGACAATAATCTTTAATTCAAAATCACAAGAATGAAAGAAAAAAAAACATGTTTTCAAAAACACAAATTAAATGATGCACAAGAACAACAAATAAAATGGGGCTTACAAACATATATTATAAATACATACATATAAATATGTATTTAAAAAATATTAAAATCTATAAATATATAGTAAATAATTTTTTTATTAATATTATTTTCTTTTTCTAAATAATTGTAAACTTCAGCATGTAAGTCGTTATGTAACTAAATAAATATCTACATTAAAAATATATGTATATTTTTCTTTTTTGTAATTTTTGCTCATATAATTTTAAATATATAAATATTTTTTTTTATATACGTAATGTCCAAAATAAAATTTATATATTATTCTTTTTTGTAATTTTTGCCCATATAATTTTGAATATATAAATATATTTTTTTTATATTTTGTAATGTCTGAAAAAAAAATATATATATATATATATTTTTTTTTCTTTTTTGTAATTTTCGCTCATATAATTTTGAATATATAAACAATTTTTTAATATATGTAATGTCTAAAAAAATATATACCTATTTTTTTCTTTTTTTGTAATTTTTTTCTCATATAATGTTGAATATATAAATATTTTTTTTTTATATATAATGTCTTAAAAAAAAAATATATATATATATATTTTTTTTTTTTTGTATTTTTTTTTCTCGTATAATTTTGAATATATAAATATTTTTTTTTATATTTGTAATGTCTAACATTTTCCCGTTTTAATTATTTCATTTTTATATACATAAATAACCTGTTCCCTGTTTTTTGCTAGTAATAAATATTAAAAAAAAAAAACAAACTTAAAGTAATTTCCAAACTCTGTACAATGTTTAATTAAGCTAAATAAAAATTAATCAATGACAATAATATTCTGTAAATATTTAAGAAAAAAAAAAAATAACATTCAAAATATCTGAAAATGTAATTCCCTGACAATAAACTCAAACAACAAAACTTAAAGACAATAACAATTTATCATAGAATTAAGACAATAATACTGTGCTACAGCCTTAAAATTAATAAAAAAAAAAAAATAGTGAACACACACTCACACACAGTAAGCCAAAATGTGAATTATTATTTGAGGGCATTCAAAACTGCAGTTTATTAATTATTAAAAATAAAAAAAAAAAACAAAATATATATTTTAATTTCTAACACTTCACAGTAATTTCTTTTCCTTTTAATATTTTTTTATGAGCAAAACAAAATCCATTATAATCTGTTAAAATAATTAAAAAGCAAACTCCAAGACGTATTCTAGTGGAGATTTCTTGGGGTACATTTGATTAAATAGACACAATTTGACAATAACAATAATTACTGAAAAAAAAAACAGTATTATTGTGGAATTAGAGCTAAACAGGAAAAAAACAGTATGTTCGGACAGGCAGAACTTGGAATAACCTTCACCATTTGGAACAAATTAAAAAAAAAAATAAACAAAAATCCCTAAAAATTCTGTTAAAATCTTATAAATACCGAATATAGCCGTTATATTGGGGTCTATACGGAGACGTGGACCTGCATAGGCAACCTTTGTCATAAGTCATTATATTATTCAAATACGAAACTTGACAAAAAAATCCGGGGCTATTCGAAGACCTGCACCTGCAAAGACAATTTTCTGTCACAGGCTGTGCTACCTATTAGGAACTTCAAATATGAAATTGAAAACAATTCCTGTGAATATTATACCTAAAATCGTCCAAATAGCGAATATAGAGTGGTACCGATTTATGTGGGCTGGACGAAGACCTACACCTGCATATACAATTTCCTGTCGCAGGTTGTAGAACCTATTAGGAACTTCCAATATGAAATTTCAAACAACATTGTATTCGAAATTTCAAATATATTGTGCCTAAAATCAAAATACTGAATATAGGGAAGTACTAATATATGGGGCCCATACGAAGACCTGGACCTGTCAAAGACTTTTCAAAAAACTGTTGAAACAACTTCGGTGAATAATGTCCCTAAAATCGTCAAAATATCGAATATCGGGGGTATCGTTGTATGTGGGCTATCGTACCTATATAGGAATTTCTCTTCCAGCTGGTAGGAAAGAACTTCTAGTATGTATTATTAAACAATTCCATTGAATAATGTAGCTAGAATCATCAAAATATCGATTATAGGGAGGCACCGTTATATGGGGGATACACGATATCGTGGACCTATATAGAAAATACTTTTCCAGGCGGTAACGTACTCAGAAGGAATTCCTTTTGTGGATTTTCAGACAATTTCATTGAAAAATGTGGGTGGGAGTACGGTTATATTGGGGCTATACGATATCGTGGGCCGATATAGCCCATCTGTGAAGTGGACCTGCCTGCAGACATAAGACTGATCTCTGCAAAACATTAGTTTCCTATCATCAATTCGTTTTGACTCTAGCATGATTTCAATAGACGGACAGACTGAAGGACAAATAGAGCTAAATCGTCTTAGGATTTTACGCTGATCAAAAAAAAAAAAAATATATATATATAAATATATATACATATATATATATATATATATATATATATATATATATATATATATATATATATATATATATATATATATATATTTTGTTATGTCTAAAATTTTGATGCGTTACAACGACAAACTAATATATAATACATAGTATGGAGGCTATGTATGGTGGAGGGTATAAAAAAACGTGTATCGGCATTATGAATGACAACCCCCTCTTGCACATTTTTTGAAATTTTCTGAATAAAAAAGTACGAGGAAAATCAAGCAGCTTATGAAGGTGGTTCTAAAACCAGAAGACAGGTGTATCGGCATTTTGAATGTTTACATCGCAAAGAGGGGGAAAGTTCCGCCCTAATTCCACATTTTTTGGAATTTTCAGATTAAGATTCCCTGTAATCGTTGTATATTAGACATATACGGTCTCCGACAATATTGCAGATAAAAATACGAGGTTTATTTTGGTAAAATATTTTAAACCTCAAAGGAGTCAATAAAGGGGTCTTATTGCTGTTTTTTTAAATACTTCCGGATCGTAGCAAGTCAAAATGTTCTACAAAATTATTTGCCATACAATTCTACTATAGGTCTCAGAAGACATTAAATCTTATCATAAATATTAAAAAACCCATTTTTATGTCAAAGGCGTACTTTCTGTGAATTTCCGGAAAAATCGGCTACAAAGCATCATTTTAGAAGGTTTATGTCAAAGGCAAATATATTCTTCATCAAATTTCACTATAAGCCACAACGAAAATAAATCTCTATTTCCTTACATATAGCAAGAAAAATGTTTTTATCAATTTTTCATCAGTCTTTTTTCGATTGAGTGAAAGTAGCTTAAATGTTCGTGTTTGGCAGAATCTGTGAAAAGAAGAAAAATTCTACACAAAATTTCATTATAAATCTCGGAATAAATTATATATCTAGGAATGATAGTTTTTAAGATAATTGCATTCGGAATTTGTATAATACAAGTAAATGAAATGAGTTTGATTTTTCACTGCCAATATAAGATATTTCCATTTAAGTCAAAATCTCCCTTAATACTTTAATTTTTGGGGAATGTGTCAAAGGCAAAAATATTCCACATCAAATTTCATTATAAGTCAACAAAGAAATCATCATCATCTCTATTTCCATTATATGTCGAGAAAATATTTCCAAAAAACCCAAAAATATTTCCTTTTCTGCTAAATTTTACCTTATACTTTTTCAAGTTGAAACGTGAAGGTAACAAAAAATTTCTTTTTAGGCCGAATGTGTCAAAACAAGAAATATTCTACACGAAATTTCAATATAAATCTCGGAATGAACAATATATCTGGGAATAATAGATGCTGAGAAAATAACATACATTATATATTATGATTATATACTACCCCCTTTATGGGGTTAGTTCTGAAGAAAGAAAGTCGAACAATTATTATACAGCCATTTCTGTCATTTTATGTCATTCCGTTTGTAACATCCCTAAATATTCGTGGTAGACCCCATAAAGTATATATACTCATGATCAGCATAAAATTCTAAGTCGATTTAACGATGTCCGTCTGTCTGTCCGTCCGTCAGTTGATATCACGATACAGCCCACGTTATTTGACGTAGAGCTTCAAAATTTGGCAGAACAATTTCTACTGTAGCTAGGGTGGTTGGTATTGAGATATATCGGTCCACGTTTTGGTATAGCCCCCAAATAACGGTACCTCCCGATATTAAGTATTTTAACGATTTTCGCCACATTTTCCCACGAATATGTCTAAAATTTGGTATTAGTGGGTCATAATTGGTTCAAATGTTTCCATTACCCAAAAGTTCGGTCCGGCCGAAATTAACGTTTTTTTACTTGTTTTTTTTTTGTTTCTTTTGAATTGAAATTTTGATTGAAGATAAGTATTTAAAATGTGATTTGAATGCTTTCAGTAAATAGTTCATATAAAAAAACCACAATTGTTGAAAATTAGTTGTAGCACTGTGTAAATTCATTCATGAAACATTGAATTAAAACAAGGAAACATGTTGACAAAAACAATACAATAAAATTTACATATAAATATGGAAAAAAACAAATATCATCATTCTGTGCTCAATTATATTAGAACTAAAAAAATACATAAAATGACCTAAGTAATTAAAAAAAAAAACAAACAATATAAAGACACATTTTCCCTGTAATATTTAAATAAAAATATATTTAAAAAAAATATTCAATTGTAAATTTTTCTCCTTCGCCAGTGCTCTATCTCTATCTCTCACTCTCACCACACATAAAGTTTGACAACAAAATAAATTTCA